GGTTCAGAGTGATAAGAAAGGTTGGACCAGATGATCCTTGAGGGTTCTTCCAACCTGGTATTCTAGGATTCTGGGGTAAGTACCAATAGCATTAGTATTTTCACTATCTTTAAAGCCTCATGGAAATAAATAACAAAGCTAACATGAAAATTATATAGAAAAATATTTAGGATCGGGCTTAGAGCTTGAGCAGACTGTCACTACTGCAAAGATGTTTTATGTGGTCCCTAGGTTAGAAAGAGACCAGCTTGCCTGTGAGGTATGCAGTCCTAGGACACCCTGCGACTAACCTGAAAACTGTAAAAGGCTTCCTAAACATAAATTCACAGACAACAAAATCCTGAGGAAAGCCATGAGAAATCTAAACCTACAGTATCATCTTCCAACACAATTCCCCTCCTCTCTCTCTTCTCTTGTGTCCCATACATTTGGTTTCCTTATCCCAAAAGGAAACACTAAGGAGAAAATGATGAAGTGCTTCAAATGGTGTATCTCCTGTTACCACTGGCATCCACTTGGTTCAAAGGTGGTGTGTTTCCCATAAATTCCTTACTGCATCCACCTAAATCTACTCAGACAGGCTCTTCTGCTGATGTGAGGCATTAGAAAGCATCAGGTTTTACTCCTTCTTTTTTCTTATTAATAGAAAAGGTGATGGTTACTAATGATAAAGAATAAGGATCTCCCCAAGTCACAAATGCTGAATTCCCTGCTGTTTCCTCAATCAGAAGCGCTTCATTCATCTCTCACCACAAGCACTCACAGTAAAAAAATGCTTTATTTTTTTTAACTGCCCAGTGACATACACATAAAACAAACAAGCTTATTATTTAAAAATAGTGATACTGTTACCATTTGTTAGCCTACAATTATTCAGCAGAATATCCTTACGTGGTAACAGAGAGCTTTGTGAAATACTGCTACAGATAAACATTGTAAATAAAAGCAGAATAGAAGGAAACTCAACTGAGCTGAAGTTGCAGGTTAGTGCATTAGAATACTTTCTGGTACAGAAAGGTTAATTACACAACAAAGAAACTCCTAAAAGTGTAAATATTTAATTACATTGGTTTACTTGCATTTGTTTCTCTTTGATTATCCTATTTAAATGGCTAATCTGAAATAAAGATTATATAAAAGCAAGTCCTTTGAACTATTAAAGATGGAAGCAAGCATCACAGAAGAATGAAATACCTGATTGAGCTGCTGTTGGGATTCTTTAGGTCCTGATGAAGCTTTATCACCCATTCCTGATATTCCTGCTTCTGGATAGCAGTAGACTGTTTTAATTCATTTGTCCATTTGTTTTCCAAATCCTAACAAGACAACAGCGATAATTTTAGTGTTCTAGGTTTTATTTTTAAGACAATTATTTGCACAATGTATTCTAGTTCACTGATCTTTGTTTACCTGCTGAGATTCAAAATGCTGAGCCGCTAATGAATTTACATCTTGGTCTGTTAGCGACTTCCCTAGCTCCTGCATCACCTTATCCATTTCTGCTCCTTGTCTGAAAGGGAAACAAATGTAGATTCACAGGAAGCAACGCTTTAAACAAACTGGCAGAACACTCATTGCTGTCGATATAATAGTCAGTTGTACCAGTCAACTGGTCAATGCTTGTCACAAGCAGAGAGACAACTGAACACATCGCTGAAAAACATGTCACTCCATATTTGTTCATCTCATTTCAGAATTGGAATTCATACATTTAAAGTCCACCTTCACAGATGTTCAAAAGAAGGTATGACAGTATCTTCAGATATTCTAATACAGCACTTCACTTGTCACTAGAAGTTTTTTAAATGGACATACTTCCATCCCTTGCTTTCCTCCCACCCCAACCACAGATGATGTGGACAGGTAAACACCAGGAAATAGGCTGAACACATCTATTTTTAAGAGTTAGATGAGCTTCCAGCTCAAACAACATTCAACAAGGGGACCTGGAGTTGAAAGGCTGTCCTGCTACCACCAGTTCATCCAATACTTTGTCCCTCCTTAGTCACCTTAACCCCTGGGTTCAGGTAGTCATTCACATTCAGCCCTTTCTTCAGCAAGGAATCAATTCACCCCAGCACAGACTTAGCAATGAATATTCACAAGTCAGAGCTGAGTGTCAGTGATTCCAAGTCATCTCCTGTGCAACCAAAACACTTGTGCTCATTTGGGATAGTCTCAGCTGTCACCAACAGGTGGAGCTTCTTGATTATAATAAATAGATAGGATAAATTCCTCTGGAGTCTCTATCACACTAGAGCTCCACAACATTACCTGCTGTTAGGATTAAGTGCTTTCTTCTACATGCATACTTGAGAAGAGTCAATAAACAGCAAAAAGTTTTAGCATATTATTGGCAACATTTAACTCCAAATTTTTAAGTTGGTTCAAGTCTTTTGCTCATCATCTCACCTGGTGGACCTTCCAATTTTTCATTAAAAATACATTATAACAAAGGCAAAACATGGTAGGCACATATACTTTATTTTCTAGATATCCTAAGCACTTTAGGTTGCTATGCCACTTACAGTGTGGATGGAACAATGAAAATCAAACCTTAAATTACTTTGACGGCCTTAGCTTTTATTATTTTCAGTAACTAAGGAGAATATTCAATAGTTGACCCCAACAGTATAAGCTAAGTACTATATGAGTTTAAAAAAGGAAATATAAAACTAAAATAGGGCTTACAGAGACAAATACAAGTCTATACACTGCCTTAAGTTACAGACACCCAGGGCCCTGAACCCCTATTTAATACAACAGAAGAGAAAAATAAAAAAAACAGGGAATACCTTTCCCGTAGTTTTTTCAGTTCCACATCTCTTTCACTTATTAATTCTGAGATACTAACAAAATAATTGTGTTCCAGGTTTAACAGCATTTCAGAAGCTGAAGAATGTATCAGATCGTGATAAACATCAGCAAAATCTTCATCCCAGCTGGTTTCTTCAGGTTTTGCATATTCTAACATTGTCTAAAAATTGTAAGAGATTTTAAAGCATTATGGTACCTTTTAGGACATATAAGGATCCCTCACAATGGTAGGGCAAACTCAAGTAGGCATGCACACTGTTGCTTCAACATACATGACTTATCTTTCCTAATTTGAGCTTTCTGTATTCTGCTTATCTTTAACATTTTTGTCTTCCCATATTCCTTCTCTTTTCAAAGCAAGAACAGCAGAAACATTAAGATTTTGCCTATAACGAGGAATTACCAGTTTTCAGCCATCACCAACTTCAGTAGAACAGTATCTATAATAATACTTGCAATTGATGAATTTTACACAGGGCCCAAAGCACCAGCTGTGCAAATAAAGTTTTGATAGAATGATAATCTAATAACCTCTGACATCACCAGAATTTAACAAGCAACACAGATTTAAGAAACATACTTTCTACTGAACAAATAATGGCCTAAAGATTTCTATAACCTCTTCCTCAAATTATTTTTCTCCTGTCATTAATTTTCTCCTCTTTGCTAGGACTCTTCCAGTTCTTTTACATTCCTCTATTTTGAAAGATCACATGCAAAACTGCATGCATTACTCCAGCTAACCCTAACCCTCATCACACTAAATAGTGTAAAATCATGAACTCCAAAAATGAGCCAAAAAGTCTCTTCCAACTATATCCTTTCTCTTTGGAGTCTCCATTGCTATGTTTGAGATTTAGGATAGGAGTACCACTTTACTGTCTCTTGCTTTGATTTTAATGCACTATAACCCTTTGGTCTATTTTTGTTATAACATCACCAACTATTCACCTCTCAATTTTTTATCTTTTGACTTTATTCAGGAAAAACCTGCCTGAGAACTTGCAGGATGAAGACTTAGCGATTACTTTCAGATAAAAAGAAAAAAAAACTGTAAGAATTTATCAGTAAAACTTAATTTCAATAGAATTTTGCATCTTCACAGATGTGACGATGTCTGTACATGCGCACACACTCTCAAAAAACGTGTCCTGAATATTAACTTTTCAGCCTCAATCTTACCTCTTTATAGGCTTTAGCCCAAGTATCTGCCAGCTGGTTAATGTCTACTTTTCCTGATTTCACTGCTTCCAGAGCTATTTCATCTTCTCTATCATGATCTTTTATAGTTTCCTCTTCTATGAACTTAATAAGAGATTGCTTCAGGTCTATTATAACAAGAAGGGAAGAGTCCATCAACAAAACTTATCAGCAGAAGTATCAATACTCATCTGGTAAACACACAAATACAGCTTCTTCTGAAAACCTGTTACTTGGGCACCTTACTTGCTAGTACTGACAGTAATTTTCTTTGATGTTTTGCTGTTTTAAAAACAATTTTTTCAAGACCATTCTAGTAAATACCTTTTTTGTTGTTCTCTCAAAGCAGGTTGTAAGACTTATGGACACAGACATATGACACTAATTTAAGAAATCAATTCTTACCATTTTCTATAAAGCATGGCAGATTGTGCAGAAGCATTAGACGTCCATGCAAATGACTAATATTCTCTTGTACCGGGAAGCTGAGAGGCACAGCGAGCACTAAATGTTGATTTCCAGCACTGAAATTGTAAACAAAGTCTTGTTCCCTAGTGCAGGTCTTTTCTTTATTAGGCTTCATATTCTTGGGTTGATTTTCTGCATTAGCAATGAAAATAACGAGTTACATTCTTGTAAAATTGCAAATAAAAAATACTAGCTAAAAACAATGAACGCCTCCTAAAAATCTTCATTGATACTCAATTTTGACTTCCAAATACAGAGGTTAGAACTGAAGCATAGAGCAGAGTTTCCCCAAAAGAATGAATGCTTCCAAACTGTCATTGAATTTGGGTATTCAGTCTTACAAATTACAGTACAAGCCTCCTGACTTAAAGGCAGAATCAGTATATAAGGAATTATCCTAAATAGCAAACTCTAATAGACAGACTGTAACTGCTGACATGCATGTCTCAAAATCTGAAACACTTCCCTGCACTGGGATTTTATTTCCTCCTTTCTGCATGTGGTTGACTTGGGGGAAGGAGCGAAGTTTGCAATCATTTTTTGAAAAAGCTTATTTCCTCATTTTGTAGCCTGTTTTCTAAATAATACAATTGCAATAAGCCAAAATAAAAGCAAGAGAACTGCCTACAGGACGAAAATACAGGACGGGAGCACACGTATTTTTCCCTCTGTTAAATTACATCCCTCCTTTATGAACATTACCTGCAAAGCTGTACACGTTACCCCAGCTAAAACCTCCCCAGTGCTAAAAAACACTGTTCAAGAAGACAAGCATAAAATGAAAGAAAAAGCGTATTTCCAACTCAATATTCACGGGACCAGTTTACAGGTCGGCTTTGCCGTTTTTTCGGTGAACAAACCTGCAGGGTGGGAAACGGATCCGAGAAACCAGTTACAAACCGCTTCACAATAATAATAACAATAACGACTTGTCTGTGAGGCCGGTGCAACTGAGCAGCCGCCCCGCCCCGCCGGAGAGGCCCAAACCCTCCTTCCCACGCCGGCGCTCTCAGCCCCACCAGCACCAGGAGAGCAGCCTACGGGAAGGATTTGCTCCCGTTGCTGAAAAAAAACACAACAGCGGCAGGAAAGGGGGCGGCGGGAGGGACGGGCCTGCAAGGCCGCATCCCCGCACCCGCCCGGGAAAGCTCCAACGCCCCGGGGCAAACACCGGCGCCGCTGCCCGTGCCGCGCAGAGCGGGAGGGACCTCCTCTCCCCTCACCTG